TATATATATATATATATATATATATATATATATATATATATATATATATATATATATATATATATATATATATATATATATATATATATATATCCTCTCCACTTCTCACTCCCAACCTCCCTCTTTCTCTCTTCTGACAACCCCCCAACCGCCCTATGTCCATCCCATTCCGCCTGCAAAATTGGGTGAAGCTAGCCCAAAACGTCTGGCCTCAAGCACTGGACAGATAAACAAATCATCCAAAAATTTGACAAATGTTACATTTTTGTAGATGGGCCCAAGTAGTATATTCATGTTCATTCTCTACTCCCAATCGAGAATTCTGGGTTCGAATCCTGGGCGGTACAGACATGTTTCGGGGCATTTTCTATCAGCTAATGTACCTGTTCACTTGGCAGTAGGTAGGTACTCAGGAGTCAATCATCACCTTGTTGTGAGGTTGCATTCTGGGCGGGGTCAGTAATTTGACCTTGAGGGGTACCTCGATATAAGCCTAACGTGTATGAATACTCTGGCTGCCTGTCCCCAGACATATTGAATAATTATTTATATTATATAGATTGAGGATGCATGTCTTGCTCTTCAGCTGGAGCCAGTTTTTGTTTGTGTAGTGTATTTCCTTGAACTCTGAATATAGTTTGCAAATTCTGTATTCACTAAACTTCATGAAAATCTCTTTCGTGAAGTTTAGTGAAAAAGCGATTTTGCTGAAAATTCTGATTGACAATAGATCAACTACGTCACATAAAATGCAAGTGATAAATTGCTCCTTGCCATAATGTTGATAATGTATATAAAGCATACACTGGACTGGTGTGGGGAATTGACCTGTGAGAGTTATATCTATTTATATAGTAATTTATATTTTACGTTAATTTATATTTGTTGATAGCAAACTGTTTGATGTTTAAGGTGGACTGTATGATTTAGAATCCCACAAACCGTTTTCCTACACATATATTTATTTGGGGGGGGGTTATGGTTATTTTATGAAGTCATCAATATAAATTACTGGTTAATAGACATTCACGACAATATTAGACTACATATGTTAGTAATTAAATGGGGAGGCGTTATCTTGTATGGCTGATTTTGGCCTAAAAACCAGATATGACACGGATGAAAACAGACAAATACTCCTCTCTTTGGGTGAGACTGCCTTCACCACATTTACTGGTGAATTAGTACCAATTAACAACCCAAGTAGTTGTTAATTGTGCTTCTTCTTTCCCTTCAATTACACCTGTCAAAGGGCACTCACAAATAATAGCAGTAATTCTAATATGACAGCTATATCAGGGGAATATTGTGTATTGATTGAATGAGTTAAATAATATTTACCCTGTTGGGTGGCTTGGTAATTGTCCTGACCAGAATATATCCTAAATCTAATATTACTAGCCAATAATCAGCTAGATAGAATGCGAATCGGAAAAGACACTTCCCTTATTGTAGAAGATGAATGTGTGTTGATAATGGGAGTATTTTACAACCCATAACACTATGTCCAAGGTGATTAATTCTAGAGTTGCTCTGCTCCAGCAAGACTTGTTGCCCTCTCCTCTTTCTCATCTACATTAATGACCTTCCAAATGCCTCCCAACATCTCAAACCAATTCTATTTGCTGACGGCATAACCTTCATTTACTCCAGTCCTGACCCCCTTGCTCTAAATGTCACAGTGAATATTGAGCTAAATAAAGTCTATCTTTGGCTAACTGCCAACAAACTCACCCTCAACATTGACAAAACTTTCTATATTTTGTTTGGCAATAAATCCTCAAATCAAATAAATCTCAAGATAAACAATACCCAAATTTTTAACAAAGTAGATGGCAAATTCCTTGGTGTTCTCAATGACCAAATGCTGAATTTCCAGGGACACATTCTAAATATATCAAAAAAAGTTTCAAAAACTGTTGGCATTCTTTCTATGATCGGATATTATGTACCTCGCCCTGTCCTGGTAACGCTCTATTACTCCCTCATCTATCCTTATCTCAACTATGGTATTTGTGCTTGGGGTTCTACTACCCAAAATCATTTACGTCCTCTAATTACTCAACACAAAGTTGCTATTAGGAAAATATCCAACTCTGGCCCCAGACATCACTCGGTACCCCTACTCAAATCTCTGAATATCTTAGATATTAAGTCTAAGTATATGACTGTGTCAGACCACGGAGGAAAATTGAAACAGGAATTTCCTTAAGTACTTTCGTATATTAATACATCTTCAGAAGGAGTCACTGTCACATTTTTAATCACGTGTTTATTTTCGTGATACACACACACACACACACACATATATATATATATATATATATATATATATATATATATATATATATATATATATATATATATATATATATATATATATATATATGCGAACAAGCCTGAATGGTCCCCAGGACAATATGCAACTGAAAACTCACACCCCAGAAGTGACTCGAACCCATACTCCCAGGAGCCACGCAACTGGTATGTACAAGACGCCTTAATCCACTTGACCATCACGACCGGACATAATGAGGTGATAGCCGAGGCTATTTGAACCACCCCACCGCCGGCACTCGGATAGGGGCATAGCATTTTACCAAATCACCTCATTCTTTGGGGCACACGTGAGGAACACAAATGCGAACAAGCCTGAATGGTCCCCAGGACAATATGCAACTGAAAACTCACACCCCAGAAGTGACTCGAACCCATACTCCCAGGAGCCACGCAACTGGTATGTACAAGACGCCTTAATCCACTTGACCATCACGACCGGACATAATGAGGTGATAGCCGAGGCTATTTGAACCACCCCACCGCCGGCACTCGGATAGTAATCTTGGGCATAGCATTTTACCAAATCACCTCATTCTTTGGGGCACACGTGAGGAACACAAATGCGAACAAGCCTGAATGGTCCCCAGGACAATATGCAACTGAAAACTCACACCCCAGAAGTGACTCGAACCCATACTCCCAGGAGCCACGCAACTGGTATGTACAAGACGCCTTAATCCACTTGACCATCACGACCGGACATAATGAGGTGATAGCCGAGGCTATTTGAACCACCCCACCGCCGGCACTCGGATAGTAATCTTGGGCATAGCATTTTACCAAATCACCTCATTCTTTGGGGCACACGTGAGGAACACAAATGCGAACAAGCCTGAATGGTCCCCAGGACAATATGCAACTGAAAACTCACACCCCAGAAGTGACTCGAACCCATACTCCCAGAAGCAACGCAACTGGTATGTACAAGACGCCTTAATCCACTTGACCATCACGACCGGACTTGAGTTGGTCAACACTTGACCATCACGAGTTTTCAGTTGCATATTGTCCTGGGGACCATTCAGGCTTGTTCGCATTTGTGTTCCTCACGTGTGCCCCAAAGAATGAGGTGATTTGGTAAAATGCTATGCCCAAGATTACTATCCGAGTGCCGGCGGTGGGGTGGTTCAAATAGCCTCGGCTATCACCTCATTATGTCCGGTCGTGATGGTCAAGTGGATTAAGGCGTCTTGTACATACCAGTTGCGTTGCTTCTGGGAGTATGGGTTCGAGTCACTTCTGGGGTGTGAGTTTTCAGTTGCATATTGTCCTGGGGACCATTCAGGCTTGTTCGCATTTGTGTTCCTCACGTGTGCCCCAAAGAATGAGGTGATTTGGTAAAATGCTATGCCCAAGATTACTATCCGAGTGCCGGCGGTGGGGTGGTTCAAATAGCCTCGGCTATCACCTCATTATGTCCGGTCGTGATGGTCAAGTGGATTAAGGCGTCTTGTACATACCAGTTGCGTTGCTTCTGGGAGTATGGGTTCGAGTCACTTCTGGGGTGTGAGTTTTCAGTTGCATATTGTCCTGGGGACCATTCAGGCTTGTTCGCATTTGTGTTCCTCACGTGTGCCCCAAAGAATGAGGTGATTTGGTAAAATGCTATGCCCAAGATTACTATCCGAGTGCCGGCGGTGGGGTGGTTCAAATAGCCTCGGCTATCACCTCATTATGTCCGGTCGTGATGGTCAAGTGGATTAAGGCGTCTTGTACATACCAGTTGAGTTTCTTCTGGGAGTATGGGTTCGAGTCACTTCTGGGGTGTGAGTTTTCAGTTGCATATTGTCCTGGGGACCATTCAGGCTTGTTCGCATATATATATATATATATATATATATATATATATATATATATATATATATATATATATATATATATATATATATATATATATATATATATATAAAACGCTGAACTTAAATGTCAATCCTGACCTTAAAAGCTTCCTATAAGTTTGCAACAGAACCCATGAGCACCACACCAAAAGCAAATACCTATTTGAAATTCCAAGAGTACGACTTAATCAAACTAGAAATGCTCTACAAATCAAGGGACCCAGAATGTGGAATGATCTTCCCAATCATGTTAAAGACTGTACCTCTCCCAACGTTTCTTTATTATAAACAGTAACAATATTATTTTATTTATTTTATTTTATTTATGCATATACAAGAATGTACATAAGGAATGTGAGGATACAAATATGGTAATTACAGTCTTGTAAAGCCACTAGCACGCGCAGCGTTTCGGGCAGGTCCTTAATCTAAGAAAATTTTAAGGAGGTAAATACTTGCAAAATTTATAGACAAAAAAATGTTAACAGATTACATGGAATGAAAAAAAAGATGAGAGAAAATTATAGGTACAGTATATTAAAGCACATAGATAGCTATGATTGATTGCAATGACAGCTTAAAATGGTAGTTGACAACAAATTGGTAGGCACAATACAGCAGAAACAATATAAGATTGATTGCAATGATAGCTTGAATGGTAGTTGACAAAAATTGGTAGTCACAATACAGCATATGGCTAGCACATAAAAGAAGACAGCAATGAGCACAATGATAAGGTTATTATCTGCCTATTGTATTAAGCGTTAGTAAATGTCTCGGTTTTTCCGACAACTAGGACTTTAAGAAGCTTGTCTTTTACAGCTACCGGCGACTGGTTCCTATGTGACCGTGATGCCGCTCAAGATCGGTGGAGGCAGCGGGTCCCCAGCCAGAGTCATCGGCGAGGTGGATGAAGCACCCCCGGGCGCCTCCCCAGCAGGTACTCTCCTGCACTCCGCCTACATCCTGCCGTGTCTGCTGATCATCACGCTCCTGGCACACTGGCCCCTCAACGCCTAGGATACTTACCCTCACCGGCGATGGACCACTGCACTCGACCATGTTGGCCGGCACTTGCAATAATATGATGAATATATGAATATGCAATAATCTGGTGAATATGCTTGTAATAGGGATCTAGTCACGGTTATCTGACTTAGTGATATTATATTCAAGTTTGGCAGACATAAGCTGAGATGTGATAATTTGACAATGGTCCAATTCTTATATATCTCAGGTCTCAGCGTGGTCTGTACCGCCCCATGTGTGACTGTTGATGTTTATCTTTTTCAAAGCTTTACTGAATAATTCAGACCATATCATTGTAGCAGCCTATTCTTTAATAATGACATTACTTATAGCAACCATTTGGTCTAACTAACAAAAATGGACTGATCGATCCCCAAAAAATTCTCTTCCGTATTATAAAGTTACCCTAAATAGCTTATTAAGATAATGGAAAAGTTACCAAAAAACCTAACCTAACCTGCCCAAGTAATCCTAGGCCTAATATACGCTCTCTTAAGTCTAATATAGTACACATAATCTATAATTTTCTAGGAATGTTTAAGTTCTGTTTTGCAGCTGTTTGTTTTTCATGCCCTGTACAAAAATAATTGTAAAAGATGCAAAGATTGTTGGCTACGACAGTCCCTTTGTGCACACTCGATCATATTATTATGTCAGTGCTCTCTTGGGGGGACGGACTCTCGTGATAACATATAACATTACTTTAATTAGATTTTCGGTATCATGCTCCCAAAACCTAAATTGTGAATCTGTTTTAACACGAAAAATAAAGTCGCAGAAATTGTCATACACTCATCTATATTTTATTTGAATCCTAATTACGTTGCTATTCAATTTTTTAAAACTTCACTTGTGATGTTAATGCAACAAAAGTGATAGTAATAAAATAAAAGAATGCTTATATGCTTCCTTCTCCAAACACCAAGGGCTGGATTAAAACTTTTAGACGCCCAATTGTACTTACAAGATTTTGGCACCCCCACATGTATCTAATTCAATTCAATATATATGTGTGTGTAAATCACGATATATATATATGTCGTACCTAGTAGCCAGAACGCACTTCTCAGCCTACTATGCAAGGCCCGATTTGCCTAATAAGCCAAGTTTTCATGAATTAATGTTTTTTCGAGAACCTAACCTACCTAACCTAACCTAACATTTTCGGCTACCTAACCTAACCTAACCTATAAAGATAGGTTAGGTTAGGTTAGGTAGGGTTGGTTAGGTTCGGTCATATATCTACGTTAATTTTAACTACAATAAAAAAAAATTGACCTCATACATAATGAAATGGGTAGCTTTATCATTTCATAAGAAAAAAATTAGAGAAAATATATTAATTCAGAAAACTTGGTTTATTAGGCAAATCGGGCCTTGCATATTAGGCCGAGAAGTGCATTCTGGCTACTAGGTACGACAAATATATATATATATATACATTAGTATATATTGGTAGCAGTCTTTCTTGTAAACATATATTATTAAATATGACCGAAAAAGTAAGATTAATAATTTTAACACGAATTTTCTCAATATTTCTTATGTTTATTTTCACTGTTGATGGTAATTGAAAAATCAATTCTCCAAAATTCATTTTTATTTCAAGTCTGACGCGACACTTGAACGCGTTTCGTAATAACTTATTACATTTTCAAAGACTTTAGTTTACACACACACAACTATAACCTGCAAACACTAAACAGAGTTCTACTATGCTATAATTTAAACAGCTTTCATCTTATATACCCGCATTTAGGTGAGGTGATATGTTACAACAGTTTTGGATGAGGTGAACAAAACTTTCAACACAAGACAGAACAAGAAACAATGGGTATAAATTGGGTAAAATTAAAGGAAAGAATTGAAGTAACTGCAAAGGGCCTATTGGTCCATATTTCTTGATGCTTCTATATTGGCGCGGAGTCTTGAAGTGGGTAGAATATAGTTGTGCATTAATTGGCTCTTGATTGCTGGTGTCGACTTCTTGATGTGTAGTGCCTCGCAGATGTCAAGCCGCCTGCTATCGCTGTATCTATCGATGATTTCTGTGTTGTTTGTTAAGATTTCTCTGGTGATGGTTTGGTTGTGGGAAGAGACTATATGTTCCTTAATGGAGCCCTGTTGCTTATGCATCGTTAATCGCCTGGAAAGAGACGTTGTTGTCTTGCCTATATATACTGAGTTCTTTAAGGCTTACAGTCCCCAAGTGGGCATTTGAAGGCATAGACGACGTTGGTCTCTTTTAAAGCGTTCTGCTTTGTGTCTGGAGAGTTTGTCATGAGTAGGCTGGCCGTTTTTTTGGTTTTATAGTAAATCGTCAGTTGTATCTTCTGATTTTTGTCTGTAGGGATAACGTTCCTATCAACAATATCTTTCAGGACCCTTTTCTCCGTTTTATGAGCTGTGGAAAAGAAGTTCCTGTAAAATAGTCTAATAGGGGGTAAAGGTGTTGTGTTAGTTGTCTCTTCAGAGGTTGCGACCTCTGAAGAGACAACTAACACAACATGTTCGCGTTCAAGTGTCGCATCAGACTAGAAGTAAAAATTAATTTTGGAGAATTGATTTTTCAATTACCATCAACAGTGAAAAAAAACATAAGAAATATTGAGAAAATTCGTGTTAGAATTATTAATCTTACTTTTTCGGTCATATTTAATATATATATATATATATATATATATATATATATATATATATATATATATATATATATATATATATATATATATATATATATATATATATATGTGTGTGTGTGTGTGTGTGTATCACGAAAATAAACACGTGATTAAAAATGTGACACTGTCAGACCACAGAGGAAAAATGAAACAGGAATTTCCTTAAGTGCTTTCGTATATTAATACATCTTCAGAAGGAGTCTGAAGATGTATTAATATATATTCAGGATGTATTCACTCCTTCTGAAGATGTATTAATATACGAAAGTACTTAAGGAAATTCCTGTTTCATTTTTCCTCCGTGGTCTGACAGTGTCATATATATATATATATATATATATATATATATATATATATATATATATATATATATATATATATATATATATATATATATATATATATATATATAGGGGGGTACCACCTCTGGTACCATATATATATATATATATATATATATATATATATATATATATATATATATATATATATATATATATATATATATATATATATATATATATATATATATATATATAAATAAGGCACAACTCTCCTAAACACGAGAGTGAAGTATACAACTTTAGAACACTTTCCCACCAGGAGACTCGAACCCTAGCCAGCACAGAAGCCTTCCAGCAACTGGCATAACAGGTACGCCTTAACCCGCTCCACCACCTGCTCAGACCCTTAAAAGAGATGGTAATTTCGGAGTAATTAAATTCACCAAAGATCACCACCTCCCAAGAGCACTAGAGCAAGTGAGGGGGTCATTTATACATTAATTTCATCAAGTCCCTGTTAATATGGGAAGACACAGTGTCTATGCTTAAGGCACAACTCTCCTAAACACGAGAGTGAAGTATACAACTTTAGAACACTTTCCCACCAGGAGACTCGAACCCTAGCCCAGCACAGAAGCCTTCCAGCAACTGGCATAACAGGTACGCCTTAACCCGCTCCACCACCTGCTCAGACCCTTAAAAGAGATGGTAATTTCGGAGTATTTAAATACACCGAAGATCACCACCTCCCAAGTCCGAATTAGGGTTCGAGTCTCCTGGTGGGAAAGTGTTCTAAAGTTGTATATATATATATATATATATATATATATATATATATATATATATATATATATATATATATATATATATATATATATATTTATATGTATATATATATATATATATATATAATATATATATATATATATATATATATATATATATATATATATATATATATATATATATATATATATATATATATATATATATATATATATATATATATATGTCGTACCTAGTAGCCAGAACTCACTTCTCAGCCTACTATTCAAGGCCCGATTTGCCTAATAAGCCAAGTTTTCCTGAATTATTATATTTACTATAATTTTTTTCTTATGAAATGATAAAGCAACCCTTTTCTCTATGTATGAGGTCAATTTGTTTTATTGGAGTTAAAATTAACGTAGATATATGACCGAACCTAACCAACCCTACCTAACCTAACCTAACCTATATTTATAGGTAAGGTTAGGTTAGGTAGCCAAAAAAAGCTAGGTTAGGTTAGGTTAGGTAGGTTAGGTAGACGAAAAAACATTAATTCATGAAAACTTGGCTTATTAGGCAAATCGGGCCTTGAATAGTAGGCTGAGAAGTGCGTTCTGGCTATTAGGTACGACATATATATATATATATATATATTTATATGTATATATATATATATATATATATATATATATATATATATTATATATATATATATATATATATATATATATATATATATATATATATATATATATATATATATATATATATATATATATATATATATATATATATATATATATATATATATATATATATATATATGACAGTGTCAGACCACGGAGGAAAATTGAAACAGGAATTTCCTTAAGTACTTTCGTATATTAATACATCTTCAGAAGGAGTGGTTTTACAGGTCGAGTACTGGATATAAATAGGCAGGAGAGAGTGGTGGAGTGAGGTGAGGTACAATACGTGGACACTTCAGAGGGCCTATTGGCCCATCCGATGCAGCTCCCAATCATAACCACACACAGCCCCAAACATGGATAATCATAGCATAAAATAGTAAATATTTACAATGAATTAGTGAGACAACTGTGTTCCAATGATCCTACTTAAATCGCCCTTTAATTATAATAATAATAATAATAATAATAATTTTATTTAGGTAAAGGTACATACATAAAGAGATTTTACAAAGTTTGTTGGCTTTATAGATAGAGCTAGTACATACAATGCCTAAAGCCACTATTACGCAAAGCGTTTCGGGCAGGAAAAAACACTAATGACTAAAGCTTAAAACTAATGGGTAAAAAGAAAAAAATGCGTTGAGTACAAATAAAAATAGAGGTAAAAGAGGGGGAACATTGTTGAAAAAGCAGCACAAATACAATTACAAATTATTACAGAAAATTACATTCAAAAAGCGTTGATTTGAAAAACAAAAACAAACAAAAAACATACATGGGTTGACAATAGAGGGGTAAGGTAGGTTACAGGGAATTTATTAGGTATAGCTTCGTTTTTAACTTAAACTGGTTGAGAGAGGTACTGTCTTTAACATGTTTGGGAAGGTCATTCCACATTCTGGGCTCCTTGATTTGTAGAGCATTTCTGGTTTGATTAAGTCGTACTCTAGGAATATCAAAACTGTATTTATTTCTGGTGTGGTGCTCATGGGTTCTGTTACAACCTTCTATGAAGCTTTTGAGATCAGGATTGGCATTATAGTTTAGCGTTTTATATATGTATAATACACATGAGAGAATGTGCAGTGACTTAATGTCTAACATATTCAGAGATTTGAGTAGGGGTACCGAGTGATGTCTGGGGCCAGAATTGGATATTGTCCTAATAGCAGCTTTGTGTTGAGTAATTAGAGGACGTAAGTGATTTTGGGTAGTAGAGCCCCAAGCACAAATACCATAGTTGAGATATGGATAGATAAGGGAGTAATAGAGAGTCACCAGGGCAGGGCGTGGTACATAATATCTGATCTTAGAAAGAATGCCCACAGTTTTTGAAACTTTTTTTGATATGTTTAGAATGTGTCCCTGGA